GTTGAAGGCAAAAATGACTATCGCAATGCGAAATGAAAATCGCAATGCGAAATGAAAATCGCAACGAGAGAATCGCAATGCGAAATGAAAATCGCAATGCGGAAATGAAAATCGCAATGCGTTTATAATTTCGCATTGCGATTATCTCGTTGCGATTTTCATTTCGCATTGCGATTTTCATTTCGCATTGCGATTCTTTCGTTGCGATTTTCATTTCGCATTGCGATTTTCATTTCGCATTGCGATTTTCATTTCGCATTGCGATTTTAATTTCGCATTGCGATTCTGTCGTTGCGATTTTCATTTCGCATTGCGATTTTCATTTCGCATTGCGATTCTCTCGTTGCGATTTTCATTTCGCATTGCGATTTTCATTTCGCATTGCGATTCTCTCGTTGCGATTTTCATTTCCGCATTGCGATTTTCATGTTGGGATTTTCATTTCGCGTTGCGATTGTATTTTCCGTGTTGCGATAGTCAAATGCATGCCTAATAGTGATAACAACTGAATAACAAGAGTTGGTTAAGTCAAATGGTTGGCCTGAGTCATTAATTCAACTGAAAATGTTAAAAGTTCACACATAAAATCCACATAATACAACGTTTGCATTTAAAAATCACCTAAGTTAACAGTCTCAAAAGGTGAAGCCAATCGTGATTGGGATTTTAAAGATGATTGCCTTTTGCTTGACACCATATGAGCTTTGGATTTTGATGAGGATCCATATTTTGGTAGAGGAAAAGATGATTTTGATGGCACTGGTGATCCACATGTCAACCTTGTATGACCACTTTCCTTGCACCGACTACATGTCGATCTCTTCTTCTCTTCACCCTTAGACGGTATACGATCGTGACTTTTTGGTCGGCCAGGTAGCCTTCTGTCCATGGCTGGTGGCAAAACTGTTTGTAAGTCATCTGGTATGTCCCACTCAGAAGGATGTGGAATAGGGTAGACAATCTCGGCATAAGTCTGTCGATAAACTTCTGTAGTGTAGCAATCATAGCGTATGCGCTTGAATCATCTTGGTTTAAATGAAGAGCAACTTTTATAACATGGCCACACGGATAACCAGATGTTTGCCATTTCATACAACTACACGTCTTTGCATTTAGATCGACTAGCCCATTTAAGTTATTATCCAGTACTTGAAACAAAGTGTTTGAACATGGTTCAACTCTCCATGACGTTGACTTCACAACACGTTTCGTTATCTTTTTTTCAGTCCATGGTGTAACACGATGTTCCAATGTTCCTGTAAATTTAAATAAACAATACTTAGTAAAATATATAAATATGATAAGTTACGAATTCAAAGAAATAATACCTGCATGGTTTCTTTCTTGTAGTACCACTGTTGAATAGAGGCTCAAAAAAACTCCATTAACATAGTAATGGGTAATTTCCGGGAATGACGACTTAGAGCGTTGATTGATTCTGCACTATTAGACGTCATGAAACCATATCTTGCTCCAAGTTGATGTACTCTTGACCATCTTTCAAACCCGACATCTTCTAGTGTTTGAGCACACTGAGGCAAAACACGTCTTAAACAATTTATATGCTTATTGAAATCCACTTCCCGATAAGCTTTTACAGCCTTCCAGTATGTCCATTTGTGCTTTTTTATACCAGCAGACCTTGATTTTAGATTTCTATACAAATGAACACCACAAAGTCCATGAAAAGCATCTGGGAAACACCTTCTAACAGCGTTGTCAATTGAGTTTGCCCTATCGGATATGATTGTCAGATTGCTAATAGGACCTATGCAATCCCTAAGATGCCCCATAAACCATGTCCATGAATCAGAGGTTTCAGATTTGCCAACCCGTAAGCTATTGGCAATATCCCATTGTTAGCATCCATGGCTACTGCTAATAAGTTTACTCCAAGGTATCGACCTTTCAAATGTGCTCCGTCAACTATAATAACTGGGCGCATGCAAGTAATAAACGAACGAATCTACAAAATATATACACAAGAATATAATCATTTAAATGTGAAATGCATGTAACTAATAAAAATGAGTCAACAAAATTATATTGATTTACTAACCGTAGCACCAATGGCGATAAACAGCAACTCAAAGCGTCCATCTCTATCTGTTTTGATATGAGTTACCGACCCAGGATTTTTCAGCTTTAAATTGTGACAATAAGCCGGCAGTTGGGCAAACGATGCTTCTGGCGACCCCCTCAACAATTCCAAGGCATAACATTTGGCTCTCCAAGCTTGAGAATATGATATACTAATCTTGAACCGAGCATTCATGTCAGTCATAATTTCATGTCCCCGATATACCCTGCCATTCAAAAACATTAACTCAGCCAGAAAACCACCCAACACCTTTTTGTTTGCCTGTCTATGGTGAGGAAAAACTTGGGTTCTTGAACATGTATGTTTATCAATAAAAGTCCTAACTTGAAACATTTTGCAATCTTTTATTCTCTTTGCAATCATACGCCACGTACAGTTTTTGTCAATCATACACCTTGTTTCGAAACGATCTTGCTTGATTTGTTAACTTTTAGTTGATAGCCATCTTCCACACATTTCGTATATAAAGCTATCTTCAAGTCTTCCTTTGTATCAAAACAATCATCTTTCTTGATACGAATAACTTTTGTGTAACAATCAACTGCTATCTTTATCAACTCTTCTTCCGGTATCTGAAGTAATTCTGGCATATTCCAGTTATACGCCCGTGGCATTTTCTTTTCTTCGGGGACTTTTTCTTCTTTTTTCTTCTTCAGGATTATATGAATTACAGAATGGATGTTCAACATGTTCATTCACAGTCGTAACTTCCTCCTCATTATCATCAACATTACATTCTTCGGCAACGGCTGTTTCATCATCAAAATTCGGGTATTGACCAATATCAATATCATTACACGCATGGTCTGTTTCTTCTGAAACATCATCAAAATCCGTGTATTGACCAATATCAAAGTCCGGATATTGACCAAGACCAAATTTCGAATACTGACTAGTACTCACAATTTTTTCTGTTGGCTCATCATCGTCTAACTGGTCAATACGAAAACCGGAATTTGGTGCTGAAAGTTGATTGGGATTTGGATTAGAGAAAGGTTGTGGGTTTTGAGAAAAACTTAGTTGATTACTACCCGCTACTGACCCAACAATACTACTTCTAGGTTCAACAACATACAATGTAACATCATCTTGTGAAACCCTAATGTAAGCAATGAATCGTTCAACATCTTCATTGTCGGTTAACAAATAAACTTTACCATTTCTCTGATAAGATAGCCTAAATCCACTTAGGGGCTCTAAATTCAATTTATTTGAAACACGTAGCATTAGAGTTTCATAAGTTAACTTTTGTAAAGACAATTTTAGTTGAAGATTCATGGGTAAAGGCATATATTGTAAAACACCATGAACATTATCCCATGACCCTCCAAAACACAAATCTATCCAAACATGATCAATATTAGATGATTTCATGGTTGTAAATTAATTTACTAAACAGACGAGCTGCGAAACTAAAACCTGTTGCCGGATTGGGAAGGATGTCGTTGGATATAGGAACGGATGTCGCCGGAGAGAGTGATAGATGGAGATGGAATGAGTTGCGATTTAGGGATTTAGTTTATGATTTCAGTGTTATATACCCAAAATTTCAGTGTTGTGATTTACAGATTCTCGTTGCGATTTACGGATTATCGTTGCGATTTACAGATTCTCGTTGCGATTTACGGATTATCGTTGCGATTTACGGATACGCGTTGCGATTTACGGATTATCGTTGCGATTTACGGATACGCGTTGCGATTTACGGATACGCATTGCGATTTACGGATACGCGTTGCGATTTACGGATACACGTTGCGGTTTACGGATACGCGTTGCGATTTACGGATACGCGTTGCGATATACGGATACGCATTGCGATTTACCCATACGCGTTGCGATTTACGGATACACGTTGCGATTTACGGATACGCGTTGCGATTTATGTGTTCGCGTTGCGATTTTCATATTCGCGTTGCGATTATGGAAAATCGCAATGCGAATATGTACTATCGCATCGCGATTTTCAAGAATCGCGTTGCGATTTTGGAAACTGATTTGCGATTCTGGGGATCGCGTTGCGATTTTTATTTCGCGTTGCGAATTTGTTGGTCATTTTGGCAAATCCAAAAAAAGTTGGTTAAAATCGTATATTATAACTTTTTTTTGGTCACTGAGGCGATTTTCTCATAATATAATGATAGTGATATATGTTTTTCAAAATAATTTAATTTTAATTTATAAATATACATTAATTTATTTAAATTAATTAAATTTTAATACATATATCGACTTCTAAATGAAATAGAATACTAAAAAAATAGAACTTTCTTATAGGACTTTCAATCCGAATTTCTGATTCAACACCGAACAAATTACCTAACATGCTAACACTAAGCAAATGGTCAAACTGTGACTACAGCAAAATTGTTATAGCGTTTTTAGCGGCGTTTTGGGAGTAAACGTCACTAATTATAAACATATTGCGGCGTTTATATACCAAATGCCACAAAATGATAACTTTAGCGGCGTTTTTTTATATAAAAACGCCGTGATAGAGTAATATGTTAGCGGCGTTTCATCCATAGTGGCGTTTACAATCGCCGGAACAGAATAGTAATTTAGTGGCGTTATTATACAAACGCCGCTAAAGACTCGTACTAGTGGAATTTTTATACAAATGCCGTCGTTTTCCTGTTTTTAGTGGCGTTTATATTTCCAAACGCCGTAAATTTTTATATCTCGCAGATCCCCTTTTCCATTTTTAGGTTTCTACCGCTCATTTTTTAAGTTTACTTTTTCTCAAAGGTAGAGAAGCTCTCTCTCGCTTTAAAGTTCTGCTAAAACCAAAACGGCTCCTAATTTCGTTTCCCCCCCCCCCCAAATCTACAAGCCCTAGAGAAGGTCGAAGAAAAAGAAGATTACCAGGACAACCGTCTCTTTGTTCAGAACACTATCGATGTGTCTAAGCTTTGTGCTTCAGAACTTGAAGAATTTGTCAAAGGTTCTTGTTTCTTCTTATATATATTTCATGATTCTTTTTTTTAGTTTTAGAATTGTGTAAATTCGGTTTCGTTTTTGTTAAATTAGATTAGATTTAGCAGCTTCAAGAAAATTATGGAAAATTGAGGCTGCTTCGATTTCGTTTGTTTCTGCGTTGCCTTGTTGCACAGGTGCTAAAGATGTTGTGAAAACATGTATGGATGCTGGTGTTAAGGTAATTTTGCTGGGGTTTAATTAGGGGTGATAAATAATGTCGTTTGTATATATAATGTTGGGTTTTTTATTTTCTCGCTCACTCAGTGATAGGGATGGCAAACGGGTACAGTTTCGTAGATTCCGCACCGTATCCGCTCCAATTGGAGCGGGGATGGGTATAATTTTAGCGGGTAGTGGGCGGGTGTGGATTTATAAAGTGGTACCCATCATGGGTGGTGGGCGGGTAATGGGTTTGAGACATTACCCGCCCCGCATCCGCCCACCCCACATCCGCCCTCCCAGCTAAATATCTATTAAATTTTGGACCATTATGAATTTAGGTGTAATTTTAGAGACTAATTTATAAATTTTAATATTGTATAATATATAACATATAATTTATCCAAATATTAAGGATATTTAGTCTTTAATCTGGTCTTTAATTAGGGAAATATTCGACTCTTTAATTAAACCCATAATCCCACTAACCACGTCACTTTCCATGTTCTTTAGCCCATGCTGCCCATCCAAACACAAATTAACCGTACTATAAGCATTAACATCAAAAGCATCAGTTTCTATGTTCTTTAGCCCCTCAAAACCCATATTAGGCGCACTATGAGCATTAACATCGAAAGCAACACAACAATCCAGCTCTGCGACTACATGCTCCCTACAATCTGTCTCCATAACATTCGTAGAGCTACTCCTCTAACAAATTGAAGCATGCGCTGCTACCCCATCACGAACTGTCTGGGAACCAACTCCAACATCCCATTAGTTTGCTATCAGGCGGGTCTAGATGGGTATGTCGCTAGTGGGTAGTGGGTGTGGGGATGGATTTGAAAATGTACCCGCGTGGGCGGGTGTGGATTTGAAAATTTGTACCCATCATGGGTGGTGGGCGGGTGGTGGATTGAAAATATTAGGTGGGTATGGGGATGGGGAGGAGGTATCCGCACCCGACCCGCCCGTTTGCCATTCCTACTCAGTGATCTCATCATTGTATTGCATGGGCAACCAGTTGCTATCTTTCGCATTTCTTGATTGATTTTGTCTAAATGGTGTAATTAGATTTATGAGTGGGGAGTATACCTAACAAATCTTACTTTACAGAAATAAAACGAGGTTACATATTGGACAATTGGTGAAGGACACTTAGGCTAAACTTAAACAAGCTAGTGAAACAGATCATCGTGCTGAAGTCGGTGTAAGTTTATTTCTTGGTTATGATTTTGGGTTTCATTGATCAGCCTTATCTTTTACTTTTTAAGTCAATGAAAAGGAGATATGACTGTACCGTTTGTTGTTCATGATGTTCCTCATGTTCTATATTTCGAACTCATGGTAATTCGTAAATGGTTTATTGAAATTATTTTTATTACTGCTCGACCCCTCCTCTCTGGAAGTACTTGATGCCCTTTATATCCGTGTAATTGTAGGCAAACAAGAAGGTAACTGATGCCAAACTTGCAAAAGACTTTCAAGCAGTTTTGAAAGAATTCCAGAAAGCTCAACGGCTTGCTGCTGAAAGAGAAACATCATACACTCCTTTCGTTCCCCAAACAGTTATTCCTTCAAGGTATTTATCATCTGAGAGTTTACATGTACTTAGATTTATAAGTGATTTGAATGCTTTTGTTCTCATGGCATACTTGGAAATTGAGTCAATAACAAGATGGTCCTGAAAATCCTTCATAAAACATCCATTTCGAAATGCCTTAAACTTTTGCTTGTTACCGTTATTCTCACTAGAGGGTTCTTCCTATTTTATTCAGCTACACTGCTGGTGAGGTAGAGGTTGCATCAGATAAAAGTGCCAAACAGCGAGCCCTTCTTATGGAATCAAGAAAGTAACTTTTTCAGTTTTTCTTTATGAATTCTTACCCTTTTCATAAGGTGATCACTTCTGAAATTTGGACATGGATTTTGGGATTTCTTTCTGTAGTTCATGTTCGTTTGGCAGCTTGTACATGTTTTTTAAATAGATGCTGGACTTATTTGAATCGTTATGCAGTTTTTCCTGGTATTTAGGCTTATAATAAAATTGAGTTTGAGAATCAATTTAAAAAGAGAAAATCGCCTCAGTGACCAAAAAAAAGTTATAATATACGATTTTAACCAACTTTTTTTGGATTTGCCAAAATGACCAACAAAATCGCAACGCGAAATAAAAATCGCAACGCGATCCCCAGAATCGCAAATCAGTTTCCAAAATCGCAACGCGATTCTTGAAAATCGCAATGCGATAGTACAAATTCGCATTGCGATTTTACAAAATCGCAACGCGAATATGAAAATCGCAACGCGAACACATAAATCGCAACTCGTATCCGTAAATCGCAACGTGTATCCGTAAATCGCAACGCGTATGGGTAAATCGCAATGCGTATCCGTATATCGCAACGCGTATCCGTAAATCGCAACGATAATCCGTAAATCGCAACGAGAATCTGTAAATCGCAACGATAATCCGTAAATCGCAACGAGAATCTGTAAATCACAACACTGAAATCTTGGGTATATAACACTGAAATCATAAACTAAATCCCTAAATCGCAACTCATTCCATCTCCATCTATCACTCTCTCCGGCGACATCCGTTCCTATATCCAACGACATCCTTCCCAATCCGGCAACAGGTTTTAGTTTCGCAGCTCGTCTGTTTAGTAAATTAATTTACAACCATGAAATCATCTAATATTGATCATGTTTGGATAGATTTGTGTTTTGGAGGGTCATGGGATAATGTTCATGGTGTTTTACAATATATGCCTTTACCCATGAATCTTCAACTAAAATTGTCTTTACAAAAGTTAACTTATGAAACTCTAATGCTACGTGTTTCAAATAAATTGAATTTAGAGCCCCTAAGTGGATTTAGGCTATCTTATCAGAGAAATGGTAAAGTTTATTTGTTAACCGACAATGAAGATGTTGAACGATTCATTGCTTACATTAGGGTTTCACAAGATGATGTTACATTGTATGTTGTTGAACCTAGAAGTAGTATTGTTGGGTCAGTAGCGGGTAGTAATCAACTAAGTTTTTCTCAAAACCCACAACCTTTCTCTAATCCAAATCCCAATCAACTTTCAGCACCAAATTCCGGTTTTCGTATTGACCAGTTAGACGATGATGAGCCAACAGAAAAATTGTGAGTACTAGTCAGTATTCGAAATTTGGTCTTGGTCAATATCCAGACTTTGATATTTGTCAGTACACGGATTTTGATGATGTTTCAGAAGAAGAAACAGACCCTGCGTGTAATGATTTTGATATTGGTCAATACCCGAATTTTGATGATGAAACAGTCGTTGCCGAAGAAGATATTGTTGATGATAATGAGGAGGAAGTTACGACTGTGAATGAACATGTTGAACATCCATTCTGTAATTCATATAATCCTGAAGAAGAAAAGAAGAAGAAAAAGTCCCCGAAGAAAAGAAAATGCCACGGGCGTATAACTGGAATATGCCATAATTACTTCAGATACCGGAAGAAGAGTTGGTAAAGAAAGCAGTTGATTGTTACACAAAAGTTATTCGTATCAAGAAAGATGATTGTTTTGATACAAAGGAAGACTTGAAGATAGCTTTGTATACGAAATGTGTGGAAGATGGCTATCAACTAAAAGTTAACAAATCAAGCAAAGATCGTTTCGAAACAAGGTGTATGATTGACAAAAACTGTACGTGGCGTATGATTGCAAAGAGAATAAAAGATTGCAAAATGTTTCAAGTTAGGACTTTTATTGATAAACATACATGTTCAAGAACCCAAGTTTTTCCTCACCATAGACAGGCAAACAAAAAGGTGTTGGGTGGTTTTCTGGCTGAGTTAATGTTTTTGAATGGCAGGGTATATCGGGGACATGAAATTATGACTGACATGAATGCTCGGTTCAAGATTAGTATATCATATTCTCAAGCTTGGAGAGCCAAATGTTATGCCTTGGAATTGTTGAGGGGGTCGCCAGAAGCATCGTTTGCCCAACTGCCGGCTTATTGTCACAATTTAAAGCTGAAAAATCCTGGGTCGGTAACTCATATCAAAACAGATAGAGATGGACGCTTTGAGTTGCTGTTTATCGCCATTGGTGCTACGGTTAGTAAATCAATATAATTTTGTTGACTCATTTTTGTTAGTTACATGCATTTCACATTTAAATGATTATATTTCTTGTGTATATTATTTTGTAGATTCGTTCGTTTATTACTTGCATGCGCCCAGTTATTATAGTTGACGGAGCACATTTGAAAGGTCGATACCTTGGAGTAAACTTATTAGCAGTAGCCATGGATGCTAACAATGGGATATTGCCAATAGCTTACGGGGTTGGCAAATCTGAAACCTCTGATTCATGGACATGGTTTATGGGGCATCTTAGGGATTGCATAGGTCCTATTAGCAATCTGACAATCATATCCGATAGGGCAAACTCAATTGACAACGCTGTTAGAAGGTGTTTCCCAGATGCTTTTCATGGACTTTGTGGTGTTCATTTGTATAGAAATCTAAAATCAAGGTCTGCTGGTATAAAAAAGCACAAATGGACATACTGGAAGGTTGTAAAAGCTTATCGGGAAGTGGATTTCAATAAGCATATAAATTGTTTAAGACGTGTTTTGCCTCAGTGTGCTCAAACACTAGAAGATGTCGGGTTTGAAAGATGGTCAAGAGTACATCAACTTGGAGCAAGATATGGTTTCATGACGTCTAATAGTGCAGAATCAATCAACGCTCTAAGTCGTCATTCCCGGAAATTACCCATTACTATGTTAATGGAGTTTTTTCGAGCCTCTATTCAACAGTGGTACTACAAGAAAAGAAACCATGCAGGTATTATTTCTTTGAATTCGTAACTTATCATATTTATATATTTTACTAAGTATTGTTTATTTAAATTTACAGGAACATTGGAACATCGTGTTACACCATGGACTGAAAAAAAGATAACGAAACGTGTTGTGAAGTCAACGTCATGGAGAGTTGAACCATGTTCAAACACTTTGTTTCAAGTACTGGATAATAACTTAAATGGGCTAGTCGATCTAAATGCAAAGACGTGTAGTTGTATGAAATGGCAAACATCTGGTTATCCGTGTGGCCATGTTATAAAAGTTGCTCTTCATTTAAACCAAGATGATTCAAGCGCATACGCTATGGATTGCTACACTACAGAAGTTTATCGACAGACTTATGCCGAGATTGTCTACCCTATTCCACATCCTTCTGAGTGGGACATACCAGATGACTTACAAACAGTTTTGCCACCAGCCATGGACAGAAGGCTACCTGGCCGACCAAAAAGTCACGATCGTATACCGTCTAAGGGTGAAGAGAAGAAGAGATCGACATGTAGTCGGTGCAAGGAAAGTGGTCATACAAGGTTGACATGTGGATCACCAGTGCCATCAAAATCATCTTTTCCTCTACCAAAATATGGATCCTCATCAAAATCCAAAGCTCATATGGTGTCAAGCAAAAGGAAATCATCTTTAAAATCCCAATCACAATTGGCTTCACCTTTTGGGACTGTTAACTTAGGTGATTTTTAAATGCAAACGTTGTATTATGTGGATTTTATGTGTGAACTTTTAACATTTTCAGTTGAATTAATGACTCAGGCCAACCATTTTGACTTAACCAACTCTTGTTATTCAGTTGTTATCACTATTAGGCATGCATTTGACTATCGCAACACGGAAATTACAATCGCAACGCGAAATGAAAATCCCAACATGAAAATCGCAATGCGGAAATGAAAATCGCAACGAGAGAATCGCAATGCGAAATGAAAATCGCAATGCGAAATGAAAATCGCAACGAGAGAATCGCAATGCGAAATGAAAATCGCAATGCGAAATGAAAATCGCAACGAGAGAATCGCAATGCGAAATGAAAATCGCAATGCGAAATGAAAATCGCAAAGAGAGAATCGCAATGCGAAATGAAAAACGCATTGCGATTCTCTCGTTGCGATTTTCATTTCCGCATTGCAATTTTCATTTCGCATTACGATTCTCTCGTTGCGATTTTCATTTCGCATTGCGATAGTCATTTTTGCCTTCAACATAATGCAGATTGAAATCAACAAAATCAACCATTACATTTCAATCAATTAAACAAGCACAAATAAGAATTATGTTCGCATCAATTACACAAATCAACTTTTACAAATCATCTTTTACAAATCAATTAAACAATCAAAAAATAAGCAATAATTCTTATTTCCGATCATCTACTATTGAATCAACTTTTACAAATCAATTAAACAATCAAAAAACAATCAATTAAACTATTAAATCAACTTTTGCAGCCATACATCATTTTCACGTAGTTCACTTCTGAGATTAACCTGCAGAAACCAAACATTTGCTCAAACAACACTTTCTACACATCTAAAACCTACAAACAGCAAATTATTGAATTCTAGGTACTTAACCAAACATTTTCAAACCAAAAGTATATAAACTTACCAATTGTTTATGGACATTTTTATAACGCGGATGCAGGTAGGCAGCGTCTCGTATATATCGATTTAGCCATATAATGCCGAAACCACAAGCCTACTGCAGCTCTATCTCTATCGGTGGGAGGTAGATACTTGATGCTTCCCGTCGTCAAACGCTCCAACGCCAAGCATACGAGAGGACCACAATCTCCTCTGGCTCCGCTCGTTTGTTGTGGCGCGGTCTCGTCTCTAATAACTGTAATATTGAGCTTCTTTGGCTTCTTGTTTCCAGAACGAGTCCAATAATTGATCGCATCCAAGAATTTAGCCAAATGAGAGCTCCATCCCTTAATAACATCTCTTAAATCAGCCAATGATATGTAATTTATCATGCTGTCAT